TCATTTTAACCATTATTTAACATAATTGAAGTACAGTACAGGGAATTAGTTTTTAGCGCGCCAAACAGCCACTTGACTTGCCCAGAATGGCGTCAGTTTGTGACCCTGCTCAGTGGAGGAAGCATCTTGCTTTAGACCTCTTGAACATAAACTATTTATGTTTTTACAGTACAATTATTGGTCATTCTGAAGGTTATTTTACATATTGATAATATATAATGCAGTGCAGTGTTGATTTAAAGAACATAATCTTGAATTACACCAAGTGAACTAAAATTTTATGGGTGAAATGGCAACATGAAGCATGGGGTGACTTCTCTTCCACCCCAATGCTTTCTCTTCTCCCTTCTCCTCCATCCCCATTCTAATTCCCATCATCATCATCATCATCAACCAGGAGCCTTCTACCTGCACACCTCAAATAAGTGTACTTTACTGCATTTATTTTTAGTTTGTATGTAATTTTCGGTGAGCTGGAACCAATTAGCCAAAATCCCATTGAAACAATGGTTTCGGTTAACGAATGACCTTCTGGAACAAATTGTGTTCGTTAACTGAGGGACCACTGTATGATATTATTGGTCTATGTTAAATTTTTTTTAAAGTCATTTGTCAAACTAAAATTACAAATATGAAGGTTTAGATTCCCAAAGAGAGGGCTACAGTCTTGTTAAAAGGTGAATTGCACATGCTTGCTAGATAACATGCAACCTTCCTCAGTTCCCCTTCATGAACCAAGCAAGTATAGTGTCATAATAAAAGCAAGAGATAATCTGATTTTTCAACTGGAACTTTTATTTGCTTCTTTGTATTAACTAAAATAAGGTTATCCATCTGTTTCTGCAGTAGTTTATTGAAGATAATATGTATCAGATTCTCAGGTTTAGTGTACTGTACTCTATCCTTTTTCACAGTGGACATCAGATATATGTAATTATGCATATTTTCATTGCCCATTTACTAAATACAGTGATCCCTCGGTTAACGATTTACCTTCCATAAGATTCTTAACTTCGGTTAACGAGCAATCCCTCGATTAACGAGTTTTTTACGAGCCGACTTCAACATGTTTTCGCTTGCATTTGGCGGTCCACCAGCTGTAGTATTAGTCCGCCAATACAGTAATTGGTTTTAGGGCTTAAATTCCTTACTATTTTAGTAAATATCAAGAAGTTTATACTATTCAATAATTTTAAAAGTTTAATATTAACTTTTTTAGTCATTTTAACAATTATTGAACATAATTGAAGGTAAAGAAACTAGTTTCTGGCGTGCCATCCAGCCTGTTAACACACCAGACAGCCGTTAGTCTCTCTCTGTTTTCAGTGGAGGTAACATTTTGCTTGAGACTCTCTTCAACTAAATGCTTTTTTTCTGTTTCCAAGCAAATTATTGGTCATTTTGAAATTTATTTTACATATTGACAATATATAATGCAGTGCAGTGTTGAGTTAAAGAAAATAATCTTGAATTACACCAAGAGAACTAAAATTTTATGGGTGAAATGGCGCCATGGGGTGACTTCTCTTCCACCCCAATGCCTTCTCTTCTCCCTTCTCCTCCACCCCCATTCTAATTCCCATCATCATCATCCAGGAGCCTTCTACATACACACCTCAAAGTAAGTGAACTTTTCTACCTTTTTTGTTGAATTTAGGCAATTTTTGTGAGCTGGAACCAATTACCCAAAAACCCATTGAAACAATGGTTTCGGTTAACGAGCAACCTGCTGGAACGGATTGTGCTCGTTAACCGAGGGACCACTGTACATCAGATGTCATGTACAGTATAGTACAACAAATATGAATTATGATGTAATATAATAAATTTTTTGCTACACATACAGGTATCCTTCATGATACGAATGTTCTAGATACGAAAAGTCGCTTATACGAATTTCCTAAATTAACTCCACACTTTTGAGATACGAAAGCTTCCCCAGCTTATAAGAATTTGGGGCCAGGCAAAAATTCAGGTTGGGCACCAGGAGTCAGCTGGCGCAGCCATCTTGGGAAGAGATGTGTCCTTACTCAGCCCACCCCCTTGTGGTGTTGGGCCGAGACTGCCCTCCCATAAAGTGATGCACCAATGCAATACAGTATATTCTTTTTTTTCTTTTCTTTTTTTTATGTGTTCTAAAGTAATTTCCTGTATTATGTAGTAAGAGTGAAGATTGTGTGAGATGTCTGGCCTAGCTGTGAGTTGTCTTATTGTTATTATTTTAATTTGGTTTTTTTCGGATATACTTTTCAATTTTTTTTATTGTTACAGTGACCCCTCGTTTAACGAGTGCCTCGGTTAACGAACCGCCTTCCATAAGGATCTTCAATTCGGTTAACGAATTTCTTACGAACCAACCTCAACATGTTTTCGCTTGCACTGACCGGGCAACCAGCTTTAGTATCAGTCCGCCAATACATTAATCGGTTCTAGGGCTTAAATTCCTGAATATTTTAGTCAATATCAAGAAGTTTATACTATTCAATAATTTTAAAAGTTTAATATTCAATTTTTAGTCATTTTAACAATTATTGAACATAATTGAAGGTAAAGTGACTCGTTTAATGCGCGGCATCCAGCCTCTTAACACAGCAAACAGGAGTTAGTCTCTCTCTGTTTTCACTGGAGGTAACATCTTGCTTGAGACTCTCTTCAACTAAACGCTTTTTTTCTGTGTTTCCAAGCAAATTATTGGTCATTTTGAAATATATTTTACATATTGACAATATATAATGCAGTGCAGTGTTGATTTAAAGAAAATAATCTTGAATTACACCAAGAGAACTAAAATTTTATGGGTGAAATGGCACCATGGGGTGACTTCTCTTCCACCCCAATGCCTTCTCTTCTTCCTTCTCCTCCACCCCCATTCTAAATCCCATCATCATCATCATCATCATCAGGAGCCTTCTACATACACACCTCAAAGTAAGTGAACTTTTCTATCATTTTTGTTGAATTTAGGAAATTTTCGGTGAGCTGGAACCAATTACCCAAAAACCCATTGAAACAATGGTTTCGGTTAACAAACGACCTTCTGGAATGGATTGAGTTCGTTAACCGAGGGGTCACTGTACATGCATATAGTACACTCTTTATACAAAATGTGCCAAAAAACAAACAAAATAAATAAATACAAGTAATTATAAGGTAAAAATATAAAGGGAATAAAAATTTATTGTGTGTGGAAATCGTCAGAGAGGTAGCGCTGCAGGAGGGGGGTGTGCAGAGTGAGTATCTCGGCCTAGAGGTAGGATCTGAGTTGTGCAATAATTATTTTTCAACTTGTATTTTTGGGTAGATATTTTTTATTTTATTTTGTTACGTGCACAATCTTCATTCATAATGTGCAAAGAAATTGAAAAATTATCATAAGGTAAAAAAAAATGTAACATCTATTATGTATATGACAACTAGCTAAGAGAGTGAAGGAGGGAGGGGTGGCATGTTCCTCATGGCTCCTTGTCTCGTTCATAGTGCCAAAGATTGCCAACTAACAAGGCAGCATTTTTTCTTTTCTTTTATTTATTTTCATTATTCTTATTTATTCTCATTCAAAATCGAACTCTAAGGGGTCACTATACCATTGCATATACGGAGATGCGTTCCTGATGAGTATGTGATGGGTACGGGTATTAATAAACACAGATTATTAGAGTAATGTGCCTTTTCTAATTAATGAATAACAAATAAACAATGTTGTGTCATGAATGATAGTCGTTTAATGAATAGCAGTGACGGTGTGTGTGGGTGGTTTCAGGGTGTGTGTGTGGGTGGTGTTGGGGGTGTGTGGGTGGTGTTGGAGTCGGCTACACAGGAGGCAGTGGCTATCATATTGCTCTGCTCTGGCTGAAGCTAATTCATTTGTGCATCACTGAAATTATGAATTAGGTGCTGATAATAGAGGTAGGAGTAGTAATGATGGGGGTGATGGATGGAGAGGGAGATTGTGGTGAGAGGGTGTTGCATCTATCGGTTTCTTTGGTAACACTGTGCCTGCAGAACTGCCAGACATTATTGAACAGCTGATATCTATCCAAGAAATTGGGTGTAAATATAAATGAACAATGATGTATCCCTCCAACATTATGTTACATAACATTTTAAAAGATGGAGTGAGAAAGCAAAAGGGTGTGGGTGATTAGAGATATGGGGTGGAAAGGAGTGTTGCCAAGTGCTCCTTAACAGCTGATACAGTATTGGTGTGTGGGTGTGTGTGATAGGCTGTGTGGGTGGTGTTGGAGGGGTTTGTGTGTGATATTGGTGTGTGTGTGTGTGTGTGATGTTGGGGTGTGTGTTGGTGGCATTGAGGTGTGCGAGTGGTGTTGGAGTGGTGTTGGGGCAGTGTTGTGGGTGGTGTGTGGTGATGTTGGGGTATTGTTGGGGGTGTATGGGTGTTGTTGGGGGTGTGTGGGTGTTGTTGAGGTGTGTGGGTGTTGGGGGGTGTGTGTGGTGTGGTTGTGTGGGTTGTGTGTGGGTGGTGTGGGTTGTGTGTGTGTATGGCGTTGGGTTGTTGTGGGTGTGTTGGGGTGTGTGTGGGTGGTGTTGGGGTGTGTGGGTGGTGTGGGGTGTGTGTGGGTGGTGTCGGGGTGTGTGTGGTGGTGTCATGGGTGTGTGGGTGGTGTCGCGGGGTGTGTGGGTGGTGTGTGGGGGGTGTGTGTGGGTGGTGTGTGGGTGGTGTCAGGGGGTGTTGGGCTTTGTGTGTGTGTGTGTGTGTGTGTTGGGTTGTGTGGGTGGTGTGGGAGGTGTGTGGGTGGTGTCGGGTGTGGGTGGTGTGTGGTGGTGTGGGTGTGGGTGGTGTCAGGGGGTGTGTGGGTGTGTGGGGGTGTGTGGGTGGTGTCGGGGGTGTGTGGGTGGTGTCGGGGTGTGTGGGTGGTGTTGTGTGGGTGGTGTTGGAGTCGGCTACACAGTTACATGCCATCACAGATAATATTTTTATTTATTTTTACACTATACCCTCATTAATTCAATAAAAAAGGGGTCTGAGTCACTTGAATTACCTCAAAATCTGGTGTTTGAGAGATGGTGACTGCTGGCAACATTTTAGGGATAGCAGGAACAATCGGCTGATACCGGTCTGTAAACAAGAGACGCAATAGCTCATTTGGGATTCAGTGTGTGATTTTGGGGGGAAAATATTATTTTTCGATGTTTTATTAAACGTGTTGCACCCTCACTTAAGGTAATGTACCAAAGTTATAGAGTATTTTATTTTACATGTGATAGGTAGTAAATTACAGTAGCTGTGTACTATTTATCAATAGTTAAGTAGGTTTTGTTCTTGTTTGTGAACCAATTTTGTGTTTTGGGGGGTATGATATTGGAGTATTTTTGTCATTGGGGGAACAGACCCCTATTTTTCCCATGTTTCTCTATTCGTGATGCAAAATTCAGCTAAACATTTTTTTAACCTAACCCATTCATATCTTGAGGGCTACCTGTACTGTATATCAATACAGTGATATCTCTGTTAGCCGGAACAATTGGTGCAGAGCACCCTCATCCGCGGATTTTTCTAGGTAATGGAAAAATGTTCTTGGAAGTTCCAGAAATTGCCCATTACATCATCTCTCGGACCCGAAAAAAAAATCCCTCTTCCCCGGAATTTTCCAGGTGGCGGGAAAATGTTCTCGGAATTTCCAGAAAAGCGCCCGATTTTCATCTCTCAAACCCGGAAAAAACTCCCCCATCCTCAGAATTTTCCGGGTACCGAGAAAATTTTATCAGAATTTTCCAGAAAATGTGCCCCTCGGAAAATCGTTCACAAAGCCGGAATTTTCCGGAAAATTTTGCCTTTGGAACAATTTTCTGAGAAAATTTCAATTTCAGCTATCAGAGAGTTCCGGGTCTGAGGGACTCCGATTAATGGAGCCATTACTGCATTCATTAACAATTCAGTACCTTTTTATGCTGAATTATCCATTAGAAATAAGAAGGATTAACATTGGATTATATTTTATTTTATGAAACCGTAACCAGTACCACCATCAAAAGTTCCGGTTACGGATAGAACCGGAACTTCAATAAAATCGAGGTTCCAGTCAAAAGTAACTGGTTGGAACGAAGTTATGGTTCATCCCTACATTACAACCTTATTACAGGTCTAGCCAAGACAACATTTATTGATTGTACAGTACGGTATAACTTTATTGTCACTCTAAACCACAAAACTGTTTGTTTGCTTTACTGTATTTCTATACATGATGACTAGTCACTGGGACACAAGTTGTTTCTCCGTGGTGGATCAATCAATCTTCAGGTTTAACTGCTTGCCCACACTCTCAACCTCTGTTGTTTATGGACCTGTGAAAAAATGAAGGCTCTCACAATTTTGCTAAAAGAAAATTTAGATTACATTATGTAAGAATATCAATCATAAAATTTCAATGGTTTAGCTTTTGGGGAAGACTTAATAGATATTTTTTATTAACATTACAGGTAGATCCCAATTTACAAAGCTTCAGTTAATGAAAATTTGGATAACAAAATAAAAATAAAACATTGTCAAATGCTTTGATTTATGAACAAAAACCCTGAAGTTCCAATAAAAAATTCTATAGATGTTTTTGTATTTTTTTTAGCATGTGACGATGGTGAGGTCCGGTGGAAGCCATTCTTATTGAACAATGGATACCGATATACACAGTATATATATATATATATATATATATATATATATATATATATATATATATATATATATATATATATATATATATATATATGTATATATATATATATATATATATATATATATATATATATATATATATATATATATATATATATATATATATATATATATAGGGTGGTCCAAAACTATATGGTAAAAAATATAATTAGTAATATATTGCCTCCACAAGCCTTAAAATTGTCCATTTGGTTCATAGATAAGGTCTGTAAAATTTTATCCATATTCATTAACATTTAGAGGTCAATCCATTTTGCATATTATACTTGTAGTGTAGGACTGAATTTTCTTGTCCGCATGATAGTCTTAATATACACAACACATTATATTGGGTATATTTCAATGTATATAGCCTAGTTGCCTATTTGGAAAGGGCAAAGAGTCAAGTATTGAGTCATAGGGACTGACAATGACAGGTTGAAACAGGAAACACAGACAAGGGTTACCATTAATCAGATGAAGTTACTTATTTCATTTATATCTCATCAGTTCTACAATTATTTCATTATCAATCTAAATAGTATATTATGCAGCTCTTTTGTTTCTTGGTGGACTGCCAAGTAGTAAGGTTTCCTTTCGAGTTCCTGGTCCTACACACCATGCAAGATGGATGGCAAAAGGAATCTATGCTCTCAAAATCTATCTGTTCAAACATCAATTCACATTATCAACACGGGAAGAAAACAATATCACACAACTGGCTTTGTTTGTGAGCATAATGTATGTGAGATTCTGGCATGAAGCACCAATGGCTGTTCGAGCTCCATTCAATGATTTGCAGCTGATGAAGGTTTTAAAGGAATATCCTCATGAGAAAGTTGCACACGCAGCACAAGCAGCAATTAGCCGACATCTCTGGTATCTATCAGAACATCTTATCGGTCTAAGCTTATTTGATGACAGGATCGATACTGAAACCAAGAAGAATATGGTACAAAACTTCCAGTGCCCAAAGAAACAGGACTTTTCAAGGCGTATTGTCCTATCTGATGAAACTCCTATCAGTAATGTGGCCTCATTTGTTACTGAGCGTACATTAGATATTTTTGATGTTCTTACACTAGATGGCAAAGAAAGAGCACAACTGTTCTTGAGTAAGGATCCCAAAACATGGAAAGACGATGAAGTGTTTATCACAATGAGAGATCGTGCGATAAATATGAAGGTGATGAATGACAGCGCAGAGAGGGCAATTGCTCTCATAGAGCGTTATAAATGAGTCTATAACGCAAAATGAGGACCAAAAGCAGTACCTTTTACAGGTTGTTGCAGCCCATCGCAAGAAGTTACCAACGGCAAGCAAAGCTGCTATGATGAAGGGATACAAATAAATAATGTGTATTGGTGTTCTAGAGTTATTTAGTTTGTAATTTGTAAAACTTGTAATTGTATTTTGCTGAATAAAGACAATGTGTTTATAATGTGTTTATCTAGCCCCGAAAAATCCTTATTACGTACTAAATGGAAAAAAAGAGGACATTGGATTGACCTCTAAATATGCTTTAAATGATCCAATTTTTTTCTGGGATGCATTTTGTACCTAATGGACAAAAATAAACCTTGTGGAGAAAACGTATACAAATATGTGATATTTTGGACCACCCTAAATATATATATATATATATATATATATATATATATATATATATATATATATATATATATATATATATATATATATATATATATATATATATATATATATATATATATATATATATATATATATATATATATATATATATATATAAATATATATATATATATATATATATATATATATATATATATATATATATATATATATATATATATATATATATATATATATATATATATATATATATATATATATATATATATATATATATATATATATATATATATATATTTATATATATATATATATATATATATATATATATATATATATATATATATATATATATATATATATATATATATATATATATATATATATATATATATTGGGTGATCCCAAAATGTCACATATTTTGTATGCGTTTTTAATTTGTCCGTGTGGATCGTGAAAAACATGAGATGATCGTTTTTGCCATCCATCTTGCGTATTGATATAGACAGAACTTTCAGCTGCTACTGACGATCTGAAACAAAACTGCATGTGTGGTTTCGAGGTTGATGTGAGGAAGGCCTGAGGATGAGGAGTTTGAATGAAATCGGTGCAGGATGGGAGTGCGACCACCAGGTGTGTGAGATATCTGTGACACCACCCACACTGACAC